GGGTTTCGCTCTTGTTACCCAGGCTGGAAGTGCAATGGCGCCATCTCGGCTCACCGCAACCTCCGCCCCGTGGGTTCAGGCAATTCTCCTGCCTCAGCCTCCTGAGTCGCTGGGATTACAGGCACGCGCCACTATGCTCAGCTCATTTTTTGTATTTTTAGTAGAGACGGGGTTTCACCATGTTGACCAGGATGGTCTCGATCTCTTGACCTCGTGATCCACCCGCCTCGGCCTCCCAAAGTGCTGGGATTACAGGTGTGAGCCACCGTGCCCGGCCTTCAATTTAGAATTTTTATGAACAAAAACAATCTTACACCTACTTAATATCACTATTCTCAAAAAGCAAGTTCAGGAAATTTTAAAATAATTTACAAAAGGCACTGAAGTTAGCAAAAGCATTGGTGGGTTTTCATTTTGGATTAAACACTGGAAGTGTCCACACAGTCACCACCGTGTGAGCAGCTGTCCGTTAACACCCAGGAAGACACTGACCCCGTTAGTGCGTCCTGGTCCCCTCGGTGGGCTCACGGCTGCTGCGTTCCCAGCTCCTCACACATTCTGAACACAGACCTCCATGAAAGCCAAGGTGAAGGCTACAATAAGCACTGCCAGGAATGGAAACGCGGCTCAAACCTCTAGCTTCTGCACCGTAAGCAACGGAAATCCCAACTGAAACCAACTCCAAAATAAAGGATAACTTTACCATATCATCATTTATGCTCAACAGCTCCTCAGAATAAATTTCACACAGAACAATCGGCAGGTTTTGACTGTTCCACTGGCACCTAAATGAGGTCGCTGAGAAAGCTCAAGTGCTGATGAAGCCTCCAAACACCTGGGTGCCACTGCTGGGAACTGTGTGGCTGCTGGCATCACTCCTGCGGGCTACAGGACTTCCCAAGAGAAAAGCTACTTTTATCTTCTCATCAGTAATTTAAATATTGCAGTTGCTGCAATCTGAGGTGCACTCTGGCTCCCTGCTCTCTGCCGGCCACCTTCTCACTTTGTCTAACACATGAGACCCACAGGCCAGCCAGCAGGGACCCTGCTACCATCAGACAAGGCAAGGAGGCATACAGTTCAGGTATTGCTAAGGCCTCCACCAAGCCCCTCCTCGTCCACAGCACGTGGGATACTGCGGTGGGTGCGTGGCTGGCCCCGTCCACAGCGCATGGGATACCGCGGTGGGTGCGTGGCTGGCCCCGTCCACAGCGTGTGGGATACTGCGGTGGTTGCGTGGCTGGCCCCATCCACAGCGTATGGGATACCGCGGTGGGTGCGTGGCTGGCCCTGTCCACAGTGTGTGGGATACTGCAGTGAGTGCATGGCTGCCTGCCCTCCCCACCGTTTCCTCTGCTACATTTCAGACCTAGACATTGCCACCTGAATTCTATTACCACACTGACATTTTCCAGAAAACTGGTATCTGAGTTTCAGTAACTTATAACTTCTTCCAAAATATCAGAAATCTAAGTTTTATAGAGAACATGTAAATTTTCTAAAATTCTCACACCCTGAAAGTGAGGATTAATAATTTAATAAGAATATACTCCTTTGTGACATTTTAGCAATAAACATATGACCCTTCTTCCTTTAAAAATGAAGAGTGAAAGGAGCCCCAGCTATGAGCCTACAGGGCAGTGAGCTCAGCCAGGCGCGCCATCCTGCGGAGCTGGCTCCCGTGCACGGGGCTGTAGCGCCCGGGGCTGCCCGGGCCCGGCTTTCTGGGGCTGCTCCCGGCCGCACCATTTCTCCCCGGACTGTAGCTGTGAGGTCTGCTGAGATCCGGCAGCCAAGACTTGAACTTTCCTTTCAGCGCGGGGCTTGGCCAACTACAGAAAGCAAGAAAGAACAGTCAGCAGATGGCAGGCCTGGAGATGAACAGAGAAAGCGCTGGGAAGTGGGGGCCCAGGACTTGGGCATGGGGCCCAGGACTCCGACACGTCACCCAGGAGGAGGAGAGGTGCTGCAGAGTCCCGGCACCGCGGCACTGGGAGAGTCGAGCTCATGGGGTTCACAGGGGTGTCTTGTGTGACCCCGACTACAAATCCTGTTTCCGCCCCCACAGCCCTCAGCTTCCCAGCAGCAGACCCGTTCTAGTTTCCACCCAACTAGAGACCTGTCCTGGGTGCAGAGAGCCACAACACGCAAACCCATAGCCTGGCTGACTGGCCTGCCAGCGTTACGCAAGAGCCACTGATACGTTCATGTGAACTGGCGCGGCTGTCTGGGTGGGTCCCATGTACCTCTGTCTGTCGGAGGACGAGTAGCACAGGACAGCACTCTTCCATCTGTGCACAGCCGGGAACTGATGGGGGTCCACGTCCACACATTCAAGAGCAGCCAAAACATCCTGATCTAGTTTTGACGGCTCCTCTCTAGAAAGCACAATACAAGAAGCTAAAATATCTTTGGTAAAAAAAATAAAGAATTCTAAAATATCACTTTTTTTTTTTTTTTTCTGAGACGGAGTCTCACTCTGTCGCCCAGCCTGGAGTACAACAGCGCCATCTCAGCTCACTGCAACCACCGCCTCCCGGGTTCAAGCGATTCTCTGCCTCTGACTCCCGAGTAGCTAGAATTACAGGCATGTGCCACAATACCCAGCTAACTTTTGTATTTTTAGTAGAGACGGGGGTTTCACCATGTTGACCAGGATGGTCTTGATGTCTTGACTTCAAATGATCCGCCCGCCTTGGCCTCCCAAAGTGCAGGGATTACAGGTGTAAGCTACCACACCGGCCAACTTTCTTCTTAAAATAATCTAATTCATAGAACAGATCAATGACACTGGTGGCAGGCACTTCCCTAGCAAATAACAACAAACACTAGGACCAGCCAGAGTCCAAGTGGAAGGAAACTCTGAAGGACACCTAGAAGCTACAAACTCAAACATGGGAGCTGAAAGCACATGTCAAGTCCACGTGGAGGTCTGTGTGGGGGCCAGGTGCGGTGGTCAGGCCTGTCATCCCAGCACTGTGGGAGGCCGAGGTGGGCAGATCACCGGAGGTCAGCCTGTCTCTACCAAAAGTATAAAAATTAGCCAGGCAGGGTGGTGGGCACCTGTAGTCCCAGCTACTCAGGAGGCTGAGGCAGGAGAATCGCTAGAAGGCGGGAGGTGAAGGTTGCAGGGAGCTGAGATGGTGCCGCTGCACTCCAGCCTGGATGACAGAGCGAGGTTCCCTCTCAACAAAAAAAAGAAAGTGTGTGTGGGAAAGGAAGAGGTTTAAAAACAGTGCCGCAGGCATGCACACGGGAGCACAGTTACCCAAAAAGGAAGAGCCGCCTGGCTGATTCCCTCGTGAGCTCGAGCTGCTGATCCTCGTGCCCTGGGCAGCTGGGGCCCAAGGACATTCTAGCAATCCTGGCTGACATTTCCCACTCTGTCCTCCCCTGGTCATTCCCGAGTTGGTCTGCAGGAGAAGCCGCCTCCAAGTCACTTCCTACTGCATCGATTCTTGAAGTTGGGATCTTATCTTTAGTTTTCATATTTTCATCTGGTGTCTTAGAAATACTGCTTCCTAGATTTTGCAAATTCAGTTTGTCAAACTCAGCAGTTAAACCAGTGACAGGTGGCAAACGGGCTTCCTCCCCGCGGGGTGCCTTTGCGTTCTTGCCCTCCATGGTCTTGCTGTGACTCAGAGGAGGGCAGAGCCCATTTCTGCCGCTGCACAGACCACCTGGCTCTGAGGTTTCTATGAGGTCGGCCTCCTGCTCCGAGGGGAAGGCGCTGCACCCCGCATTTCCAAAAGCACCCATCCTGGGCTGGCCATTGTTTCTAGCTGTATTTTGCCGATTTTTTATTTCTTCCAAGCTCATGTCATCTTCATCTAGAAACGCCCTCACGGAAATGGAATTGCTGCCTGTGAGGATGAAAAAGGAGCACGTCAGTGATGGGGACGATAGGAGGCCACGGAGCTACTCTGCTCCAAGCATGACCCACCTTGCAACTCCAGCAAGTGACCCCCCCATATCCAGAACCTCCTCAGCAGTGACCCCCACCACATCCAGAACCTCAACAGCGACCCCCACATCCAGAACCTCAACA